AGAGTGAAGGGGCAGGCACTCGGCTGTAGTCACAGTCAGTGTGGGTTCTGCCTGTTTTAATCCCTTACTAACGGGGGGCAAGCAAGGAGCCTGGAGAGCCAGACGCCACGGCGAGAACTGCAGATGGGCACACCCCGGTGCAGGGGAGGGTGGTTCCTGCGAGCCCAGGGCCCACTGGGGGGGGACACATGCTGCTGCTGGGGTAGAGAGAACGTATACATACCACCTACCAGACACTGATTTCCGGTCAATAAAACCTAAAAGAATTTTATGAGGTAAATATCAGAATAACATACAGACTCACAGGCTCAGAGAAATGGAACTACTTGGGGCATGTGGTTAACAAATACCAGATCAGGGTTCCTACTCCATCATCTCCCCAATTACGTACCTTGCATCAATCACGGAAATGGAATGGCACGCCCAGACCTACAACGCAGGAAAACAAACCCTAAATCTAACCCTAACCATAATCCTAAAGAGGATCGTAAAGCAAAATCTACAGTAATCCTAAAACTAGCCCCAAAATTAATCCTACCCTAACACTAATCCTAGTACAAACCTAGCCCTAACCCTAACCCTAAACTTAACCCTAACCCTAGCCAGAGCACTAGTCGTAAACCTAACGCTAACCCTAGCCCTAGCCCCAACCATCGTTAAAAGCTCAAGGGCTCTTCAGCTGGGACACTCAGCAGAGGCTCCTACACTCTGGCCCGAGGGCAGGGGGCCCAGGGGCGGCAGGGACTCCAGGACGCCGTGGAGACAGCAGCTTTGGGGTTTCATTGTGTTGCTGTGTGGGGGTTGCTCTTTTGAGTGGTTTTCGTTTGGGTGGGTTGTTTGTGGTTTGTTTATTGGTTTTCGGTGGCGGGGGAGGTGTACCAAGGGGACTGGATTCTGGGGAAGAGAGAGAACAGCATGGAAACTATTTCTTTGGGTTCGGGAGACGTGCCTCGGATGAGCGTCCTTTCTCCCTTTGGTTCAAGTGTGAACTGTTACTGGAAACCGCCCGGGAGGAGGCGTCGGCACCGTCAGCTTCGGGAGTTTCCCGTGGGGGTGGGGAAGCCTCGACAGCGGCCTCCTCTTCCTGGAACCCTGCCGGGTCCTGGAGGCCCCCCGGCTGGCGGAAGCCCCGACCCCAAGGGCGGCCTCCCTCCCTCAGCTGAGTCTATGATCGATGGATCGATCGATCGATTGGGAAAGGCAGCCACGCTTCCTCCCCGGGGCTGCTTCCTGGGGAGAAGGGCTCGGGGCAGAGAAGCCCTGGGGTTTAACACAGGTCGGCCCCCTTCCCCCAGGGCTTTGCTTTGGGTTTTGGGGGCCAGTGGGCACCTCTAGGCTCGCTCTCAGCGCCTTGTGTCTGGAGCCAGCCACTCAGGACGATGGCCCACAGGAAGGGGCCTGTCCCCACGTGGCCTCCACCGTCCCAGCTCCTCTCTGCGCCCTGGACTCGGTCGCAGACAAGGCGGGTGCACGGGCCAGAGACCCAGAAACACCCAAAGACAGCGGCTCCAGAGCAGGTTCAGGACGCCCAGCGAGGCCTGGGTGGGGCCTTGGGCGGAGCTTAGCCCCAGAGCGGAGGGGACAGGGCTGGTGTCGGGTGTCCCTGCCCCGTCCCCGCCCCGTGGCCTTGCTTTCTCCACTTCTGGAAAGTTCTCCTGGAGAGCTGCCCATGGGCCACGGGCTGGTGGGGACGTGGTGGGGAGAGGGGAGAGCTGAGGGCCGGGAGCGCCCAGAGTGACCAGGGCATGCTCAGGGCTGAGGGGCGACAGCAGGGCAGGGAGGGTGGCGGGAGTGGGGAGTGGGTTCTGGGGATAAGGCTGGTCTGGCCCCTGGTCCCCTGGAGCAGGAGACCCCAGCTCTAACAATGCCGCACATTGCATCCGGAGCAGGAACCCGTCCCGCAGAGGCCGAGGCACAGCGCCAGCAGAAGGGGGAGCGCGGCTTTCCTGGGGGGCGGGGGTCACACCCAAGCGCCTCCATGAGCGCCTCCTACAGGCCTCCCTCCTGGCGGCCTTGGGCTCCGCCCTGCACCTCATTCTCAGCGAGGACAGGACACACGTCCACCCCGAAAGGCGGCCGCTGGCCTCTGGCCCCTGGGCACCCGCCCGCACGCAGACAGGACGCCTGGACACATGGGGCGGCCGAGCTTCTGAGAAACGCCCCTGACCCGGCCCAGCCGAGCGGCGGAGCAGGGACCAGCGACCTTCGTCCCCCGTCCTCCCACCCCTCACACAGACCACACACTCCTTATAACTAGCCCCGTTGCTACGGACGTTTCCACAGAACAACGAACCCCACTCACCGCGAGACATTGCTACTTTACAGGCCGCAAACTCCCTTTAACGGCGGCCCAACCACAGAGCCCTGAGCCCCGGGGCCTCGGAGGTCTTTCCCCCAGAAATCTGTTCCTGTTTGAGACAAACGAGCGCACATTTCTGAGTTTATTATGATACATGGCGGCTCACAAGGTGACCCCGAGAGTCAGAGCTACAGGGGCTCCCAGCAAGGTGGGTGCAGCAAGTGGCTACCTGAGCAGGACCCTAGATACAGGCCGTGGGGAGGCACGGACACAGGGAACCGCCAGAACACGCACCTCTCCCCAGGCCCGCAGGGCCCCCCTGTCCGCAGGCCCCCACTGCCCGCAGGGCCCCCCTGTCCACAGGGCCCACTGTCCGCAGGGCCCACTGTCTGCAGGACCGTGTCTCGATGGGAGCAGAGACGTGCGAATGGCTGTCTCCGCAGTGGCCGCCTGGTGCGGGAACGGGACAGTCTGTGACCCCCGTCCAGGGCAGGAAGGTGACAGCGGCCTGTGTCCTGGGACTCGGCTCCCAACAGTGGGGACGCAGCTGCAGGCGAGGCCCTGGGGTTCCTGGGAAAACCGCCCTCTGACTGGTGGTCACGCTGACCAGGAAGCTGCCCGGCCAACCTCCCAGAACCAAACTCCTGCTTCCCAGCCCCCAGGCGGCCGAGTGACTGGGACAGCAGCAAAGCCGGGTGGGAGGGAGGGCGAGGGAGAGAGGGGCCGGGAGGGCCAGGCGGAGGGTGTAGCAGATGGGAGAGCAGCAGAGGTAACCGCTCCACCCCTGACACCCACTCACAGGCCCTGCACCCCTCTCTCTGCCCAGCCATCAACTTCTTGGATTTTAACACTGAGAGCCTCATGGGGAGACAGACAAGGTGAGAGGACCCCTTCCACGTGCCCCTCTCCCTTCCCTCCAGGCGGCCCTCCCAGGCCCCACCCCGCACACAATGTGAGGCGGCCCCCAGCGTGGGCACCAGGCTCGACCCCCGCAAAAAGTCACAATCCAACGGCAGGGTACAAAGGGCACCTGGAACTCTGGGGGGATAGGGGGCTCGCAGAAGTACCCTAGTCACACTGTGGGGGTGGGGGTCAGGGGAGAACCCACCTCAGCCCAGAGTTGGGGTACCCTCTGCTTGGTCCCTTTCTGGCCCCAGAACTGTAGCGTGTCCCAGTGCCTGCTGGCCCCTCCCTGCTGACCAGCGCTCTGTCCTGGGAGCCGGGAGGAGAAGACTGCGGGTGCTGCAGACGCTAGCGGGGAAGGGAGCGCGCATTGGGACAGCAGTCCCTCTGATCTGTGCCCACGGCCAGGGCACAGCCACTGGCTGCAGAGAGTGGCCGGTGACTCCCAGGGCAGGCACAGCCGACACCAGCCCTGGGCAGACACCCCCTGGGACACACTCCAGCCTCTCCACTGACCCCTCAGAATCGGCCCCAGAACACACGGCCCGAGTCACAGACGTGAGCACTGGGAATCCCACCGGGGCCGCGTCACTGCCCGTGCCAGGGCCTTGGGCCAAGAGCTGGTTCCAGTGACAGGAGCGTGAGCCATGTGTCTGCACAGCTGAGCGGTGGCCAAGAGGCCCCCCGGGACTGCCCCTCACGGGAGAACATGCCACCAGGCTCCGGCCACACGGCAGCCGCATCTGGCGTCCTTGCAGCCCAGAGCCAACCCTAGTCCCCGGTCAGGGCAGCTGACCCCTGCCGTCCGCACAGAGGCTCTGGGGCCCCTGACTGCCAGGGGTCTGAGCTCCGGGCTCCACGGGCACAGGCAGGGCCTGCTGCGGAGGCAGCAGCTGTCCTGGGCAGAGGCCCCAAGGGTGTGTCCACCAGCCTGCCCGGCACCGAGTCAGCTGAGGTTCAATGCAAAGCCCCTGAAGTGGGGGTGTCTTTCTACCCTGGGTTTCGGGGCAAGACGGGGGGCAGAGGGGCCCCTGGGAACGAGGTTTGCACTGGGCAGTGGCCTGGAGATGGGGCAGACCTGCTGGCCGCGTCAGGAGCCCGTGCCCAGGAATCGCCCGTGACCTGGCAGCGCCGGGTCTGTGGGCCGGGGAGGGGCTGTGGGGTGCTGCTGCGGACCTGGAGACATAACGGGCGACGAGGAGGGACAGACATCAGTGATGACTCAGGGGGGCGGCCGGGGCCCGGGGAGGCTGCGGTGATGGGAGACACTCCCTCCATCAGCCTCCCCAGGAGCCAGCGAGACCACTGCCCTGGCCACGGGAAAATGTGTCTGGGCTCTGAGGAGTGGCCGCCAGGCCGTGACCCTGACCAGCCACTGGGCCCCCGTCCTCCCAGCCAGGCTGCCCGGCCTCCGCAGGAGCTTCTTATCGGAGCAAAGGGAACGACAGGGCTTTTCCTGGACAACGGGCTGGGCTTCCGCACCCCTCCTCCCTCTGGGGGTCCCCTCTGCGCGCTTGGCTCAGAGGCAGGCGAGACGTGAGGGGATGGGTGTGAAGATGCAGCTGGGATGCCGCCCTGCAGGTCGCCGGCAGAGGGACGCGGGTGAGGCCTCTAGATGGCGCTCTTGGTTTGGTCTGGAAGTTCCTCAGACAGGAGAAACTCCCTGGTGGTCACCGAGTTTTTCAGATACGGGTTGAGCGCCCCCTCCTCGCAGGCGCAGGCGGGCCCTGGGCCCTGGGCAGAAGGGAGAAGTCGCTCCTCAGCTTCCGGGCAGGTGCCCTCCCAGCTGCCAGAGAATAGGCACTGGGGCTCTCTGGGCGGAACCTCGGCCACAGTGGGCAGAGCCTTGGATGAAGTGGGAGGAGCCTTGGCTGCAGTGGGAGAAACCTTGGATGCTGTGGGCGGGGCCTCAGCTACAGTGGGAGGGACTTCAGCTGAAGTGGGCGGGCCCCCAGCTGCAGTGGGAGGGGACTCAGCTGCAGTGGGTGGGGCCTTGGCAGCAGTGGGCAGAGCCTTGGATGAGGTGGGAGGGGCCTTGGCTGCCATGGGCGGGCCCCCAGCAGCAGTGGGAAGGGCCTCAGCAGCAGTGGGCAGAGCCTTAGATGCTGTGGGAGGGGCCTCAGCTACAGTGGGAGGGACTTCAGCTGAAGTGAGCAGGCCCCCAGCTGAAGTGGGAGGGGCCTCAGCTGCAGTGGGTGGGGCCTCGGCTGTAGTGAGCGGCTCGAGGACACAGTAAGGCCTGAAAGGGGAGATCACGTACTCATTCTTGTCCCCTCCCAGGATGTTTTCCTGGCCCTTTTCCGCCTCCTCTGCGGAAACCTCTTCCAGGAAATACTCAAAGTTCACCGCCAACTTGTCAATGAGGTCGCTGGGGGCAGCCCAGGGCTTGAGAATCCTGTCCTCTGTGCTCACGGCATCATCAACCTCCCTCAGGTGCAGCTTATCCTAGAAAAGAGAAGGGACACCCCCAGGGGTCATTTGGGGGCTAAAGAGGAGTAACCCAAGGCTCACTGGGCTCGGGACACCCCATGCCCAAGCCCCACGCTCCTCCCAGAGACCAGTGTGGAGACCCCTCACCCCCGCGTGCCCGTCCATAACAGCTGGGCCCCTTTCCTGAGAAGGAACACACTGCCTTCCAACACCTTCTCCTTCTAGACACTTCGAGGCTATTTCCCACAATCCTCTGCTCACCCAGCTCCGAGGAGAGCATGACCGAACGCTTTCATAGGGAAAACCATGATCATAAAGTCAACGGCTTGTCCCACGTCACCCAAAACTCAAGGTGGCCCCTGGCAGGACGATGTCATCCCGTCATCTGTGCATGGCCCAGGCCCTGCCCCTGCCCCAGGCCCCGTCCCCAGCCCCCAGTCTGGCACCTGCCAGGCAGCGAGAGACAGGTAAGTGCTGCTATGGAGGCCAGACCTACAGATCCTTCAGGAAGCATTTAGGTGCCGGGCAGCATCGCCTGTGAACTCACTGTCCCGGTGACTTTTAACAAGTAGGAAAACAAACAGGTCACGCAAAAGGAGGGAGAAGAAAGAAATCAAAACAATAACTAAAATAACTCAGTAAGAGTGATTTCTGCAATGTCCGCAGTTAAATGCCATGCTCAACTGAGACTTCCGAGTTGAAGCAGAGGCTAATATTAAACCTCCTGCACCAAGAACTGCCGGAAACAAGCTTTCGATGGTAAGGATTTGAAGGTTATATCTGATTGGGCTTATTTTTTCTTAAGGAATTCAGCCTTAACATTTCCAGAACTGTTTTCAGTTTAAAACGTCTGAGAAAGGAGGTTTCTACGTGTGAGCCACTCGCTAGGCACCCCTGCCTTAAAGTGTGAGGACACTTTCCCAGCCCAGGAACCCGCGGGAAGCTCCGCCAGCCCGGCCCCTGTGCCCACTGCCCGCCCCGCAGTGGCTGCCGGTCAGACACGTGCTCACCTTGAGGTC